TGCATTAGAAGGAAAACTTCAAATGTATCTAATGAATACAATTTTAGGCGTCAAGAAACTGATGCGGAATATTTATCGAGATTGAAATAGCAGCCTCAAAATCGACAACTAAAGAGTCCATTACTTGAGAGATTAGCTTTTCATAGAACTCTTACAGTAATCTCTTAAATTTTTAAAGATCTAAATTTATATTTTTAAATAAGTAGAAAATGTATTTTTATTTTTGTCGTGAAAAAATGTAGGGATTAAGCTCCAGGACTTTGTTGCTCTGGTAATAAAGTTGTGAGATGAGAAAAAAAAAAATTTTTTTAATTTATATATTTTAGGAGTTTTAAATCTTAACAGCTTCAAAAAATAGCCCTTATCATAAATTATACGAGAAAAGCTGCACATTAATGATTCCTTATAGCCAATGATGGCATAAGGAACTCACGGTACATTTCAGCATAATTATATTTTTTTTAATTTTTACAGCTTACTATTCGACCAAATAAACTGTATGGATTGCGAACAACTATGCTTTTAACAAGAAGATTTTTGTTCTGAGAAGTGTCAGGAATAAATGCAAAATTTCTAACTGAAAACGTTTCACATTACATGTCAACACACTACGGTGTTCTATTTAGTAAGTCTCGGGCAAAGCCGAGACGGGGGGCTGCTAGTTCTTTTGTATGCAACGAGGGTGTTTAAGCGAGTAGTCGTAATAATGTCGTGCTTCGACTATCAACTCGTGCTCATATATATATATATATATATACAGGTATGTGTGAACACATCGAAACAGATTATGTGTAGGGAAGAGCAGTGGAGTATTGCTAATGTACAAAAATAAAATAGTAGTGACCTCGACCATATCTACATTATTTTGTTCGAGCTTTCTTTTTTTTTTTTTTTTTTTTTCATCGATAGCACATAGAGAGCTTTGTACGTAATTAAAAAATTTTTATTTCAAGATATAATTTAAAAATCTCATCAAGCAAACATTTACATCGATATATATAAGTATGTGTATAATAACAATCAACATCAATAGACATTTAGAGAGCCGGTGTGTGTAAAGTATGTATATTATATATAAATCGTGTTTACACGTAAAACATACATAGAGAGGTATGCAAATAATATCGATATAGATATACATATAGATAATAACAATAATATATAAATAAGATACAGGTGTACAGTATATATAAATAAAGATGATAATAACATCATAACCAGTCACAAAAGAGAGTACCTTATAGTTGACTTAGCGAGCTTCTCTCTGTGCTCTGGCTCAGACTGAAACAGAGATATCACGCGCAATTTGCAACGTATTAGTCACACGTTTCATCATTTTGCCATTTTTGGCCACTACATGTTTTTAACATTATTCCTTATCAAAACTCTTCGTATTGTTTCGATAACGTTTTGATAATGCAATTTCATTCGTTTTGTTCCCTGTGTTTTTTAGCATTAATTTCATGGAGAAAGTAGTACTGATTGTAATGTATACACTATACACTAAAGCGCCGGAATAGCATGATGCACACACTCTAATTTCTAACACCAGCAAAGTTCGTTCGCAGCATTGAGTAATTACTGATGATGCACGTGAAAAAATGTTTTTCGTTTTTCAGCATTTATTATGTTAATATTATACATTTTTTTCACGTGCAATTATCGCTGTTATACGTTAGCAAGACAGGATGTACGCACGCTTTTGTGAGTATTTTTAATTATTTACTTACATGAATGCCTGGGCGAGCTCAGAATGGGTCTATCGCACACTGGACAATTATTGGAGAAAAAAATGAAAAAAAATAAATAAATAAAGACAGACAGTATCATAAAAAATAAACCCAGATGGATGTTAATTATAAGTATTTGTTATTGAGAAAATATTAATCAATCAAGCATCTTTGGTCACTCATGTTTGTTAATTACGACAAAAGTAGGGAGTTATGGCAAAAATGTGAAAAAACAAAGCCAAAAGTCCTTGGAGGCAGCAACATCGCACCAAACAATTTCTCCGTTGTCGCATCGTTTATACCTCAGCTCGAAGGAATCCGAAACTTGCACCCTCCCCCCCCCCCCAAAAAAAAACTCCGATTCCAGATAGCTCAATTTCCATCGCGTGCACGAACAACTTTTCGATTATCAACTACAAAGGCCCTCCCCCTCCCCCCACCTTTCGAACAAAACTCGGACTGAGAAATACAGGGAGGCGCGTGTGAAAGATAGAGGGGGAGTTCTGTGTTTGTTGTTGTGCACACGGGCGTTGGTGTAACTCGGCTTGGTTAGCGAAAAACAGCCAATGCGCAGGCAAAAAAAGTGCCCAAAAACTTGCAGCACGAAAAGCAGCGGCGGACGGAGGAGCAAAAGTTCGATCGTAGAAATAAGGGCCCTGAAATTTCCGTCGGCGAAATATTCGAGGCATTCCATTGTCGGTTTAATCGAGTTGACCCGAATTACGAAGCAAGCGCGAGATAGCGAGCGCGGAAGGAAGGAAGGCCGTATAATTTTCGTGCGACTCTTTCCCCAGGACTCGGCATGACGCGTCTCCCCCTTCCCCGTCCACCAAAGTGATTTGTACTTCGGCACACTTGGCCTCGTTGCATTGCCTCTTTCTTCCTCTTTTTTTTTTTTTTTTTGATGCTTAAGACCACCTAGCCAGCAGGGATGTACGCGAAGACATGTAGTCCAAGTGAATATATATATATATATATATTAAGTGGCTCAATCAAGCGACACGCGGCTCATGGCAACGGAGAATTTTTCCAACGAGTCCTTCATTTCCCCCTTTTTTCTTTGTTCCCATTGAATAATCATCCCAACAAATGATATTTCTTNTTTTCCCCCCCCCCCAACATTTCTATATTTAGTTCCGTTCGCGCTTTTTAAATTGGCTTTTCTCCGCAAAGATCATGTGAATAAAGTATGAGACGTATAGAACATACCGTGGCTGGTTATAAAGTTGGCGAGGTAGAGATCGAGTTCCCGGACGGAGACGTTGATGTGGTAGGGTATATATATATATATATCAGAGCCCGATCGCGCGTTCCGAAAAGGAGGCCATTGATGGCGAGGCGACTCGCGAAGCCCGTGTCTCCTTTCTCGTACGAAAAGCACACACTTGCAAAGGTGTTTTCCAAGGGGGCGTTTGTGGAATAACAAAAGGCGCGATCGGTGAAAATGCATCGCGCGCACCTTGCCATCGGCATTTCAGTGCCAGTGCTGAATTAATTCCGATGGCTTATCTGTTTTACGCGGGCACGAGAAATCGACGTGCTTGTGGTGCGAGCACACCGCGTATGGTAGTGCCTCTTGGCTTCCTTTTTTCTTTTTTTTTTTTTTTTGAACTGCTACGATGCGTTACACATAAATCGGTAGCAACGACAATTTACACTTTATCGAGAAAGCCGCACGTTTAGCAACTAAAAATATTGTACTGAGCGAGTGGTGGCTTCGTAGTTACGCGAAACCCCGACCACAGTGCAGGGTAACATCCGTTTCAATTATAGTCTCGCGAACCGCGTCCCCGCGCGCAGCGGTCGGCTATTTTCACTCGTTCTACTTGGCGGTTTTCTAATTATCTAACTAAATTCAATTACACCGGCACTCGACAACATTCCAGTGCACCATTAAAAACTCGTCGGCGACATATTTCCAACCAGATTTTCAATAGTGTGCAAATGTAAGGTAACTATGGCACGTTTCGAAAATCTTCACTCGTTTAGCGTAGGATGCTTTCAAAAGGCAATTGTCCTGTTGCATTGCCTCTTTCTTCCTCTTTTTTTTTTTTTTTTTTTTAAGCCCTCCTCCAAAATAGGAAAACTTATTTATTCGCAGTCGTATGCCATTCTTTTTTTTTAACCCTACCCCCCGTCGGTGAGGGGGGCGAGAGAACGAGAGTATTCCTCCTCTCGAATGCAGGAAGCGAAAATGTATTTTTACGACAAAGTTTACAAATGTGTTTCAAACTAAGAAGTACAAAAATTGGACGGCTGCCCGGCCGTACATGCCCCCGCCGTTCGCTCATTGGTCGGGGGGTGGGGGGGCTTCGAGGGAACGAAAAGGAAAAAAATCACGAGAGGGAAGCGGGAAATAAAAAAAAAATCAAGTGTATTCCCGCAGCGCGCGATGTACAGCCTTGCCGACGAATTTTCGCGAATTTTACGGTTTGTTGAGGAGAGCCAGTCACCCTAGCCCCCCCCCCTCCCCCGAGATACAATTGTGCAAGTGCGAGCTGGGTGTGCTGAAATTTCAAAGTGGACGTCGTTGGAGAGCGGAAGCGCTAAATTGCCACCAGAGCGATACTTCATAGGCTGGGGGGGGGGGGGGGCTAAGTACCTCTCTGCGACACATTCTCGCTCTTACATTGTTCGAATCGAGCAAATGGTCCGTACAAGGATTCTCCACACACGTGAGGCACTGCGCCACTGATCGAATCGACGATAATCCGCTCCTCTCCTGTCGATCCAATATTTACCCCCCTGCCCTCCCCCCCATGGGGGGATACCAATTAATAAAAAGCTCCCCCCTCTTGCGAGGAGAGCAAACAGCACTTTTGCCAATCCAACGGGGGAGGCTTAATCCCCGATCCGAAATTCCGCGAGCGCGCATCCATCATTACAAATCAAATCATGTATAGAAAGAGGCTTATATACGTGTGTGTACCTATACATCGGAGGTATTAGAGCATAGGCCGGGGAAAGAAAAATATTTGCGCGCTCGGCGGGCAACTCTCCAAAAATTCAACATCTCCCCCCCCCTTCACCCTCCACTCGCTGCCTCATCTTCTGTTTTCGTTTGCAGACAGAAAGAGAGCGGACCCGACAACACGAGCTTTTGCGTCTGTATCCCGAACTTGAACTTCGTATGGAGGGTTGTTGTTGTTGTCATTGTGGTGGGTTATGAATATTGTATGTACATGTGGTCTTGATTGACTTTGTTCTTTATTTCCTCCCCGGTGAGGGGGATGGGGAGGGGGTATCGTAAAAGTGGATGCAACGACTTACCAGTTTGCGAGTGCGGCGAGTCCATGCCGCGGTGGCCGCCTCCGGTGGGGGCGCCGCCGTCCTCGGGTCTCAGCACCGGCGAGAAGGTTGGGGCGCTCGACACCGAGACCACCGGGCTCTTGTCAGTCTTGTCGTTGCGTATCAGCTGGTGCACCGGTGGCGGACCTGCGGACGAAAAACCGGCTGCACGGGGTGAAAAACAAAAGCAAAAGAACAACAACAACAAAAAATGAGAGATCTGAGGTCGATCGGTAAATATAGCGCCCCGGTGGCCTCAGCTCGACTCGCGTCGTTAAATCGCGTCTCTTTGAGCATATAACGGGTGTAAATCATCGGGAGATCCACGCGCGGCTACGTAAACAAGCCTTTTTCAATGGGGCATGCATATATATATATACGATTAAAACAAAGCAATGCTCGCGTTAAAATTTTTTACGCGCTTTGCAGAGAGTCGCGTGATGCCGCTCGATCCGTGCAGGGGGGGGGGTGAAAATTACCAAAAATAAACATATACTTAGACATACACGGAGAGGAAAATCGCAGCCTAGCTCCCACCGACTAATTTGCATGGCTTCGTATAATTACCGGGCAATTAGAGCCTCTTTCCAGAGGCATCGGGGAAAAACAACATCTTGCCACCGAACGGGTAGCCAAGCGAGATAAGGTGTATATGTATACAGTACACCACACAGAGTACACAGAAGTAAGTACGAGGGACGAGAAAAAAAAAGGGGTGGAGCAGTAATTGAGGGGCAGGAGGGAGGGGAGACTTACTGAAGCTGGCCGCAGGCTGTCCGTGCTCGGTGGCAGTGGCGGCCGACGGCGGAGTGTAGCTGCTGCAGTAGTACGGTGGGTGCTCTATTTTGATCGCGTTTATTTGAGGCTGCATGTCGCTGAGGTCATGCAGGATGGACGCTGAAACACACGCGAGAGAAAGAAAAAGAGATAGAAAGAAAGACAAATGGATGAACGGATGAGTTGGGTGTGTTCTATGCACGTGCAATTGTGCTTATATCGTGTTGTACAGTTGGTCAAGGGGTGATGTTGGTAAGGCGAACGTGCAAGCAACTCGTGCCATTCTCTCCTTTTGTCGTCTATGTTTAAAACCATGAAGTCACGAAAAATACAAATTCAAAAAAAAGATAAGAGGATTCTATTGGTCTTTCGATTGTTTTTCTTTTTCCCGATCGACTCTCGTATGGAGAATAATTTAAAATCAGGGCAAATAGAATCCATTCGGTCGCGGCAAGAGTCAAAATACAGGTCAGTAAATCAGCCATCCTCGTTACGGGCGCGATAAAAGATTTGCGATCGCCTTCGGTGATCATAACGTATACACACGAGCGTCTCTGAGTCTCGAATCCAATGTAGCCCATCCATCGCGAGACATCAAGCAATTTGTTAATAGGCGTACAGTTATTTTCATTTACGGCTGATTTTACGCGACGACGGCATTGCCTGTCTGACCATACAGGGTTTGTACTACTTGCATCGGCTGTCAAATGGCCACGCCGATGAAAACTTTCGAAACGTGTGTTACCGTATCCACCTCGTTTGTAAAAATTACAGAGAAAATTGTAAAATATATACTTACTGATGGTGTGCAAATGTAAGGTAACTATGGCACGTTTCGAAAATCTTCACTCGTTTAGCGTAGGATGCTTTCAAAAGGCAATTGTCCTACGGTGCCTTTCGAAAGCATCCGCATGTACGTATACGTCTATGAACTCAACGTTTAAAATGTAAAAGATATGTATACGTCCGCGAGGTAAAGTCACACGTATATTTCAAAGGAGAGAAAGACACTGCCGTTTTAAAGAAGAAGATAAGAAAAAAAAAAAAAAAAAAAAAGAAAGAAAAAAAAGTGGTAGGAGAGCAAAAGATGAAGCAGAGCTTCGTCATACATGATACATAAAAGTGATATCGTTTGTGCTTGGTGTGTACCTTTTGAAAGCATCCAGAGCTCCTTCGAGCTGAAGACGCCGGTCGCGAGGATCGTGTCGTTGCACACGACGCCGTTATACAGCTCGTGGTAACCTGCACCTGGGAACAAATACACACGGGCCTCGATACAATCGATAGACGATCCTCGACCCTCCGCGTCTTGGCCCCGAGGCTGGCTTTACGGTGCAACGGTGTATATATACGCGCGGGGAAAAGCCACCGATGCTAGAGATAAGATGTCGCGCGGAGATATATGTATATAAATACACAGGGTGGCAGCGGCGGCGCCCGTTTGCCGACGGCCGTCGCTTCGCGATGTTTTGCTTCCTCTCGCTCCGCGCATTACTCTGTCTAAGTTGGAAAGGATTGCCGGACGAGGAGGGCTTCTTTTTGTTACTATCATCCATCCAAGAGCTAAAAAACATCGTCCCGCAAATCGTTGTCAACTTGGGTTGTGCACGGGATGTGTGTGTATATACGGAGTAAAGTAATTTGAATGAAAATAGATCCATGGAGATCGGGAGGAAGGCGAGGAGGGTCGTTGAAGCGATTGTCGCCACTCGATTTGCAGATACACATATTTTAGCTCGAGGGTGAAAAGTAGGGGAAGGGGGAGAAAAACGCAATATGGAAAGTGTGAAGGGAATGGAAGTGTCGAAAGGGGCTTGAGAGGAGTTTTATCGATGGACCTCAAGGCAAATATGTCAGGAGCATCGGTGCAAGAGGAGACAAGTTTTTTCTCTCGGGAAAAAAGATATCTGTTTAGAAGAGTACACGCGCGGCATGGGGTCCGGGGGGGAAGCTGAGCAAAAAGAGGAAGAAAAAAAAAAATACCCCGATGGAAGCGAGATCGTCGTTCGCGAGCGTCTTACGGCATTTCGGTGATAAATCTTTGCGATTCCGGTGCTATTTTTCGCTGGTGCATGTATATACATATATATATATATATATATATATATATACACGTACGTATACGCGTACGGGGCGTACGGATCGGCCCTTTTTTTTTACTCTTCTCCCGATTCGCACACACTTTCGTACCTTTTCGCCGCCTCTCCTCCTCCTTCGACGCATTGCAGATACCATTTAGAACTTCTGGAATCAGAATGAGAAAATAAAAATAATTAAGTCCACGTGTTTAACTGTCCAAATTTTTCTTTGTTTGTTTTTCTCAACAAACGATGCACATTTCATTTTCAAACCACAATGGTTTCTTCAACTGCTCAACTGACGCAATTGTCGATTAACTGTTTTCATTGTAATTTTGGCTCATCCAAATAAAAAAAAAAAAAAAAAAAAAAAAAAAAAAAAAAACATACTTAATTACAATTCAGAGTACTCTTGTAAACTTCAAAGACCTCGCACCTCATCCGCGCCATCAACGTCACATCTCTTTCGAAATCCTTACTTTAAAACGGCCCAACGCACAGGCATCTTGTAGAAAAAAAAAAAAAAAGTGGAAAAGCTGACCGAGTAAGCAGTAAAGTAAGTAGGCATACACACGCGGATGGAACCGCCAGCACACGACCCGCGTCTCGTTCGTCAACGAGTGTGCGATGACGAGAGTAGAAGCTCCGCTCCTCTACAAGTATAAATAGCCGACGGACATATCTTGTACGCCCCTGTGCAAGCGCTTCCCCCTTCCTCTTCTGCTTCTTCGGCACGTCGTTGATTTTCTCGAGCAGCTGATGTCGCATCCGTACCGGCGATTTTCCACCCGCGCCCACGTGGCCGCGATTCGCGAACGATCCTTTTTCTCCCTTTTCATTTCAAGGGGAGGGAGAGAGATGAAGATCGTATCGTTAGGCACGAGCTTGCGGATCTCTTGGTTAACGTGGAAAAGTTCGGTCATTAAAGCCCTGTAGCAGAGCTGCGGTGACTATACCGCGTACACGTGGGGGCTCTATCTCCCCTCGCTAGGCGATGGATGGTCATTTAGTTTTATCTACTGGAACGTCGCAATATGCCCTCACATTCGCACGACACTCGTACGCGACTCCTGTACTTGTGTTGGTTTGAAAAAAAAAAAAATAATAATGTGCCAGGCTCTTTTTTTTCAGTGGCAAAGTGACAATAATACTCAAAAATACAACGCGCAACCTTCGATCGAAGCTAGGAAAGAAGGGGGGGAAAAAAACCCCCACGAGTTTTCGTTAATCATTCGTCGCAGCTCGTATACATTTACGCTCAATAAATCCCCGCGAGAGTCGAGCAAAAGACCCTGAAAGTCCACGCGCGCTCGTAAAGATTAAAGCTCCGTCTCTCCTAAAAAGAGAGCAAGATAGCCCTCCCCAACGACGACGACGGCACGCCGGCTATTATTATTCGGCCAGTGTAAATATATTAATCTTCCGCGTTGACTCTTCATGCGTGTGTGTTGGTGATGCGCACAGCTTTTGCAACTGCATTTTATTCATACCCCCCTCATCCTCCCTCCCTTCGCTTCTTCTCACTCGCTTGCCTCTTCCGCAACGTGTATGTATGAAAAAAATAGCTCGACGATTTTGGTGTCCCGAAGCGTGTGTGGGTCGATGGCAAAAAACATCGAATATCATCCGTCTCGGGAGACTTTTCGAGAAAAAGGTCGACCCCGCACCTGCGCGTCACGCGAGCTTAATGCGTACAGGTACATAACACGGGTGGGCTGTCGCGAAATCGCTAATTTTCCGACAGCTGAGCTTAAAATTAGACGGGCACCGAACAAAAATCGATGATTAAGAGCTTGAAAAATCCCTCTCTCCAAGCGAAGTGCTATTTCGGTCTCATTAAGATTAAGTTGATACAAACTTTCGTGCCTCCGCGGATGCCACGCCATTTATTTCGGAGAGCGTACTCGTGTGGAGATACTTCTTTCGTTTCCCGATCTATTTTTTTCCGTACAACTGTACTGTATACTCTATTTGGAAAAATGTACCCCAGGTATATCTCGCTAGCCAAGAGCCCGATTAATCTTGAGCTCTACGGGACCAATTTAGCATCCCGCAAAACAGAGCGTTTCCCAGCTAGGAGCAATTAGCGCACGTGGTACTTTGCGAATACCCAAGTAAGTAAGTATATATATATATAT